TTTTATTATATATATATATATATATATATATGAATTTCTTGAAAAATGTAACGAAGTTTTATTGTATGTTCTTATAGATATACACGATGGTTATTTTTGTGATTACTTTTCTGTTGCCAATGCTCATCCTTACGTTTACTTATACGAGTATCGGCTTGAAAATGTGGCGCCATACATCACCAGGAAACGCAGATGCTACAAGAGATCATCAGCAGCTGATGGCTAAAATGAAGGTAAAAACTTTAACCCACTAGAAAGTGTCTGAATAAAAAAATTGTCAATATTAAATAGGGTCAGAAGTATATTAGCAATAACAACGCCATTATTCAGGTTAACGAAAGAAAAGAAAAATTCACCACATACTGCTTGCAATTATTTAACCATTTCACATGGGAGCATTTAAAATGAATGTAAGTGTGTGCTAAATATACATGCGTCCAGAAGAGAACGGTACTCGATTACATAGTTTTTAGCGATAAAAACGTGAGCGTAATGTGAATACGGTTTATATATAGTTACCTCCATCAAGGACGAAAGGCTATGAATAAATGTTTTAAAAGCTTTCCTGATGGATATATTGTTTATTTATACCTCGAATAGCCCTATTCAGGGCACACGAGAGTAAAACAAACATTCTACTGACAGAACATACATAAAACACAAAAAATTACATTAGCAACAAGTAATTCCTGATGGATATATATCAATATCAAATCTGTTAAGGTGAGAGCAAACAAACGCCTTTATCTGAAAGGAATCCATCACTCTTGTCGACGAAGGGTTTAGTGCAATGGTCGGCAATTATTGGACCACCTAACATATTTGAATGTATACAAAACTCAAATTATTCACGAAAATATTTTGCTGAGCGTAACAATAAGATAAAATTAAAGTAAAATTACAGTTAGAAATATGAGTTTTGTGTCATATACTACCTTAAAAATTTTAAAAGTATCCAGATACCCTTGGAATAGAGGTAATCGTAGCGTAACGACTCTTGAAATCTCCGTACAGCAGCACTCAGTTTGAGAAAGGAATTGGGTCAATCTCTCTCTGCCATGAAAAGCCACACAATTGATTCTTGTTCAGTCTTGAAGCATCCATTTTAAGCACGACTTTACAATAATTTCAAAAGCTCTCCCCAAATCAATCATTTGCAATTAGTTACACAAATTAATAAGTTATACGCAATCTGTGAGGGAATTTTGAACCCAACAACCAACGTTTGTTTGTAAATTTCATCAATAAGTTTTAACGTTATGCAATCCAGACATGTCTCATACCTTTCAAATATGAGCTAGTATTACTGTATACTCATCGTTAAAAGTCAGTATCTGCCATAATTGAATCAATATAATAATGCAGGTTCGTGCTAGTTACTTTACTAATACTTCCACAGAAATGTTAAATTTAGTGCTGTTATTATTATAAAACAAATAGATCCCATAGGTATATATGTCAGTTTACTAGGAATCGAACAGAATTTTTTTAAATTCTAGCCAAGCATGTAACTTGCAATGTAAATTATATGCAAATCTATTATTCTAATTTCAAATTGTAATCATCAACTTTTGCAAATTAATTTGCAAAACTCTGTATTGCAAATGTTAACTGCAATAAATGCAATTCATGATCTTATCCTGATAAAAATTTATGCTCTGTTTGAGAGGTTTTGTAGAACTAATCAGCCATGGCCACCACCTTGAGGGCGTTGAAGTCATGAAGGGGTTTGGGGCTCATGGTTTGGGATTTTGCGAAAGACTACATCTCTTATGCATCTTTTTCAGGGACCTGTCTTCTTTTCAGCTCCAAGACTTTCTTAAACCGATCGAGGCTCCTTACATCGAGGCATAAATGCAAGTTCGTGTGCTATTTTTTTCTTCTTTTTAGAGTGGGAGGTCACTTTATAGCAACTTTATTTCTGACGAATTATTTTGTCTCTTTTTCATGTGAGCGCCCCTTTTATTTCATAAACTAATTTCCAAGCGTTGAAAAATTACTTGAAAGAGATGATGAAGTAAATCCCACATCTTTATTTTAAAAACGCATTAAAATGTTTAAGTTACCGTCATAAATAAATATTAAAGATCCTATACAGAGAAATATACGATACCCTTAAGAATTTACAATGTACTCAGACATCCAGTGATATACTAATCATAATATTGGTGGAATGTGAAATTCTCAGTACATTTAAAAGTTTTGTTTAAATCTACAGTTTCTATGTATACAAACTGTAAGAAAAAATTTATGTACTTACTTTTAAAATCCTTAAATTATTAGATTTAAAATTGATTTTATTATTCAATTATACCATGTTAAATGATATATTGTCTATAACTGAGCTGTTATTTTTTTCCTATTAAAATTTCAAAATTGACTACCATGAAATTAATGGTAATGTAATTACATGACACTTATCGATGTTTATTTATTTTTCATAGGTTGTGAAGATGATGGCTACTGTTGTGGTGCTATTTGCTGTATGTTGGTTACCCATACAAATATTCAGCCTGTTAATATATTTTAGCCAATCCAGTGTTATGCCCGAAACAAGTTCAGATTTTGTCCACTTCATTACAGCCTTTTTTACCTGTCATTGGCTCTCAATGGCCAACTCATTCGCCAATCCCATCATATATTGCTTCATGAGTGACAATTTCAGGGTAAGTTCGTTTTGGAGTTTCGCGATTTTTCTCTTGTGATGTTCTTAAACGTGGAAAATTTTACCGATTTGGTTAATATATATGATACCATCGTACCATTAAATAAAAATACAAGAAAAATCAGAACAATTCATTAAGATATAATTGAATTTCAAATATTAAAATTTAGAGAAAATAATATTTCCAATTTTTAATATATTGCTAATTTTACAATGGTTATTATTTTTACAATACATGTTAAATTTTGCTTAGGCGGTTCATAAACTAGAATAAATATTATAGAGATTACCATTAGAGTGCATTTTATATAGCGTAAAGAAATTACTGTAATTTTTAAATATATTTTTATAGAATGATACAATTGAATTGAATATCCTGATTTCAGCATTCAAAGCAAAACTTTTTAAGTCACCAGGTGTAATGTTGGGCCCCAAAATCATAAATTTGGGACAACAGATCAATTGGTTGTCGAAGACGGTTAGTTTTAATTAAGTAAATTGCATTATATTTCTTTCACAACATTTGCTTAAATAAAGTAAATTGATACACTTAAAACCTCGTTGGAAAACACACTGGGGGGGAAACATTGGTTTTGGATTTATTAGGAAATTTTCATTTGCATTAAATTGCATCTCATCATGACTTAATGTACAAGTTAATAAAACAAGTTCCCTTCTGGACATTAAATGTGACCAAGGAACCCAGATTGCTTTGACCAGATTTGCAAGTGGCCATCTTAAGTGAGGTCATATTTGAGCTAGACAGAAAGATTCAACCAGTTTCGCCGGCACATATTCTGGTTTGCCTTGGATTTTCTAAGGTGGATACCTCAGATCCCTCTTTTGTTGCGGTTCTTTGTGGTCAGCGACCTTCTGGAATTGATCTGACCACTTTAAGATTAAGAGGATAAGCAACAGCAACACACAAGTTAATATGTAATCAGTAATGCTTCACATTTAAATTTGCTCTTTATTCTGTACATAAACAACATATTCTGTACATAAACAACATACAACATAAAAAATCTGAATGCGATCGTAATCTTTCACCCGTTATTAATTGTTGGGTTTAGCTTGTGGAACTGTTCTTTATAGCTTATACCCTGAAACACAGGATTAGTTGGTTATTGAAAGCGATTTTATTACTGGATACCAACTCAAAAAAACATAAGGGTCGTGAGTAAAAATGTCATACAAAGCGTTAAAGAAAACAATTTTGAAGACCAACTCTTAAAAGCAATCGCACAAAGCTGCTAATCAAATGCAAGAAGAATTTGCAGAATCATACGAATTATAGCCTTAAGCATCACTCAGTGTCAACTGTTCCAGTGTCACTTAAGACTTTGGTATAGTTGTCTACACCTTCCGTATCCTTCGGAAACTGCTTTTACAGACGTTTTGCTTTTGCAGTTATAAATGACTGCTTTTTTGGCTGCGAATTATTCCTAATTATACGAAGAGTTTTAAAAAAATGTGTTGATTCTTGCATTGCCTCTAAAAGCCAAGAAAGTCATTATTTCAATATGCAGTTTGTATGCTGCCAGAAAATTATGAAAATGAATCGATAAAAAGCTTTTTAATCAATTTTATCTAATTTTCAGTACTTTTTCCAGATTATATCCATAATCTGATCTAACAAAAATATTTTAGAAATAAATATAACATTTCTAGTATTTTTTCTCTTAAAATATATTAGTTTGACTAAAGTGAAAAACAACGCGAATAAAGCAATAAAAAAGTACCTAAATCGACGTACTATAGCTTACCTATTCGTGTTCAGTTCCATTAACAAGTACCTTCCTCAGTATCATTGTCTATAGAACTAAAACTGTAGTACGTACATTTATAAAAATTTCATTTGTGCTTTATTTGCTTTGTTTCTTGCTTTAGTCTACTTAGAAGAAGTATACTCAATCCTTTGTTAGATATTAGTTTGATTTTACAAATAATCTCTTTTAGATTTGCTAATAGATGACGAAACAATAATGAAAAAAAGAAATCTATATATCAATATCTCTGTGTATCATGTGATTATCTGTGTATCATATCTCTTAAAATAACGCTACAGAATATTCCAGGCGTAGAGTAAAGATATTAATCCTTAGTAAGTTTCAGGCTATTGGTTTAATTTTGCTTCATTCTCGAAGATGCTTGAAATATTAGCTGACTTTATTTAATATTTGAAATGGTAGAATTAAAACTAGTGATAGTAGATTTAAATATTTTCCTCATTATCTAGACAATTCATTATTTTCTGTAGAGTAAGATTTAAAATTTAAAACGCTATTATATCAAATAATAAATTTTTACTTATTAATAGTATACATATATATAACAACAAAAAAAAAATTTAAACAAAATAAATTTGCTTTAAAGATTATTTTAAGAAAAACAAAGGTAGAGTTTTAGTTTTTTTAAGAAAGTTCTTTAATTTGTTCATTGATTTAATTAACATTGATTTAATTATAATCATTAATTCAATTTTCGAAAAACTTTGCCTTTGTTTAAAACGGTTTAAAGATATGCACAATTTGAATATCGATTTTATTAAGAATGCAAATCTGAAATGTGTATATGATTAAGAAATACAGCTAATTAGGGGGGTAACGTTGTGCTTAATGGAAGATTTCGAGTTAACCAATATAAGATAACGAATTTGGACGTCATTTAATGCCATTGACTGAGACTGAGCAATCCAAAATGTCTAAAGGAATGCAATCTGAAATGCGATTTTGCTTGAAAGTTACGACTGACTTTTAAGAGTAACTTATAGTTTAATAAAGAGTTCGGAATTAACTGTCTATTAGGTACAAAAAATGTGAACGATTAAGAGAGAGATGTTTAATATCACCATTCAATGCTGCGAAACTGAAATACCTCGTGAAATGCAATCTCAAATGTGTATATGATTAAGAAATACAGCTAATTAGGGAGTAACATTATGATCAACAGAAAATTTCGACTTAACTGCCTATCAGATAGTGAAGGTAGAGGACGTCATTTAATATCATTGATTGAGACTGATATATCCAATTTGTCTGAAGGAATACAATCTGAAATGAATCTGTGAAGGTTACGATTGGTTATAGAGGCAACATAATGATCAGGAGAGAGTTTGGAGCTAACTGGGTATCAGATTAAAATGAATGTGCGGAATTACGTGATAGGTGTTTGACACCAGCAAGGACTGATGAACGAAATGCCTCATAGAATGCATTACGAGATACATCGGTGATTGAGGGTTACAACTAATTACAGAGTTAACATTATGCTCAACAGAAAATTTCGAACTATTGGGATATGGGATAACAATCATCTAAAACTTCATTAGAGAAGCTTTATGAAATCTACAGGGACTGAGTAATCTGAAAAATCTCACGTGAAGCAATTTGAAACTCATGGGCGAATGTAAATTTCAACTGGTTTTGAGGTTGATGTTATGCTAAACAGAGAGTGTAGAGTTATCCTGGTATCAGATAACAAACATGGAGGGAAACGTGAGAGATGTTCGTTGGTACCGGCAGGGTTTGAACGAAACTGTTATGGGTCCTTAGAGTCCATAGTCAGATGCATCAAACACCATAGAAAGTATACCTGAATACAAACTTGTCCAAAGGTTCATGGTTCAATCCCATTTTACTCATTTTACTCAAATGTTGAAAGATTATTTCGAAGATTTCAAAAGTCACGAAGTATCAATTTAAGTGTGAAATAAGGCAATATTACAACCCGAAACATTTTTAAATATTTCAGTATTTAGCTGCAAATAAAATGCAGTTAACCACAAATAAACAAATTTCAATCAAATTAATTTTTTCAATTAGTTCAAATTTTCAATCAATTTCTCTTTTTTTCTTCTTTAGACGGATCTCAAACAGCTACTTTTTTGTTGGTGCTGCACAACAAGAACCCACCATAGAGGACAGAGACTAAAAAACAGAAGTAATCACAGCTCTTTTCGGACTACAACTCTAGTGTTATCTTCATGTTCTGTTAAACAGACGCCAAATTCCATACCTTTAAGAAGCTTGCATGTCGATATGTTCCCTAAAAACAAGTAAAGGGAACTTTACAGATTCTACTTTCATTCATTTTATCATGTCAAATAAGCACAATAAAATCTTTGTTTCAGTGTTTGTGACGGTTCAATTATTTATATTTCATAGAGACGTACATGGGATAAAAACAATAAGAAAATTTGAAATATTATGGTATAAACTTTTTTTATATTAGTATCTAATATAATGAAAACAAAAACTTTTTGTTTCTTGCACATGCTAGGTATTACAACTTGTTTACAAAATATTGGGTATTATAGAGACAATGAACATTTAAAAAAATTATAAAAAGTCTATTAGCACACATAAATTATTAAATAGCATTCTTTTATTTCATAGAACACAAAAGAATTATATATTTATTCCATTTTGAAATTATGTGAAAAATTTCTTCAAAACTATGAAAAATTTGATTAAATTTGAAAAAATTTGTAAACACTTAAGCTACAATAAATAAATGAATAGTAACTAAATAAAACGCACTTATGCCATTGAATAAAATGTATGTCAATAATATTCTTGTGCTAATTGGTAAACGCAACATTAATTAAATGACATAAAAAAACATTTTAATCATTACTGTATAAATGACGAAATATTTTTTATTTTTTCAGAATAAATGTGTTTAATGATATGTAAGTAAAGCAGAGAAAACTGCTTTTCGCCAAAAACAAAATAGTGCCATGCCTTACAACAAGTTGCCGAAATGGGAGCTTTAGTGATGAATGGTAGGTAAGCATAAAAGCTCGGTCTCCTTTCATTGACTTAGACTAATCAACGGAGGATTGAAATTCCTTTAATTAATTCCACAATTAATTACTTAGAGATAGAAAAACATAAATTATAAATATAATAAATTTATAAAGAACATTACAAATAAATAAAATATCTAATTTGAAGTCCAGTTTCATGTTTACAACAAGTTGCCGAAATGGGAACTTCAGTGATGAGTGGTAGGTAGACGTGAAAGCTCGGTCTCGCTCCATCGAGTTAGACTAATCAACTGAGGCTTAAAATTCCTTCACTTATTTCTACTGTTAATTATTTAGAGATCAAAAAAAATAAATTATAAATATAATAAATTTATAAAGAACATTACATATAAATAAAATATCTAATTTGATTTCCAGTTTCATGCTTAAAACACATTTCCGAAATAGGAGCTTTAGTGCTGAACGGTAGGTAAACATAAAATCTCGGTCTCCTTCCATCGACTTCAATTGAGAATTGAAATTCTTTTATTTTTTCGATTTATTATTTAGAGGTAGAATTACATAAATTTAAAAAAATAGAGAGTTTATAAAGAAAATTATATATAAATAAAATATCTAATTTGATTTCCATGAACTTATTTATCTTCCTTTCAAATCCGTTTTTCAATTGATACATATGTGAACTCTTTTATACATATTTATTTTGCATTTAGCGAGCAACGAGTATTTTTTACTTGCAAAATTTATCTTTATATTTTTATAACCTCTGTCTTTGAAATGATTCTTTAAAAAAATTATTTAGCATTTTATATAAGATTTTTTCACCAATGAGGATCTCTACGGATCTAATCAGCTTCTAAATTAGGTTTGAAAGATCATGAAATGCTAGATCAAGAAAGGTTTCCCGAATGATAAATTCAGAAAGGACATGCTTTACAAACAAGCATAAATGGTCAACCGTATTTAAAGTACTTCCAAACCATCTGCAAGAACCGACCAAGTGCCCGATCGATTCGGTTAAAATTTTAGTATTGCTTCTTACTACATAATATTTAATTTTTATTACTACATTTCTATCCAACTTTATTATTACCTTACTGTTCATAGTTTTTTTTATTAATCAAAATAAATAATTAATTATATGGATAATTTTCTACAAAATAAATCTGTGCTTGGATATTTATTATTCGCAAGAAATTATCATTTGATAATTAAGTTTTAGATCATTGTATATTTTTTTTAACAAATCATTCCTACATGTGCAAAAAAATAAGATTAACGTTGAGGAGATTAGATTAATGAACAACCCCTTTGAAAAGTAAAAAATTCGAATCCGTTAAGAAAAGATATATTTACGCAAAAAAGATGCGTTTTAATGTGTTATTTTGCAATTTAAATATCGACTGCTCTTGCGAATTAGCCTATGTAAAGCTACCCTTCGAACTTTTAATATTATATGTCAGTATGTGATACTTCTATCCTTAGATAAATAGCTATTAAAGTGTTCCGTTTATCTTTCATTATTTTTTATTTTATTTTGTGCAATAAAAAACTTTTTTTAGAAGATAAGAGGAGGGATAATTAGATTTAACATATTTTTAAAAATGCGTTACTAAAAGCTGGTTATGAATTCTTTTTAGCAATGGTAAATTTCAGGACAAGCTCACATTATTTTAAGTTTATAAAACTTGTTACAAATTTTCCATCTCCACAATTTATTTCTTTAAATCTTTCTGAAAAGAGAAGTCAAAATTGTCCAGATCAATACAACAAATATCTTTTCCACAAAATGGTTGACAAGAACTAAATAAGAAAAAACTGAAACTCCTACTTCATCCACGAGTGTCTCATAGTGCTTGAGGATTATAAATGAAATTTCCCCGTCCCCCCCCCCAAAAAAAAAGAAAACTGAAAATATAATTAAAAACGAAAGTTCTTTATTTTAGGAACACTTCTTTTGATTCATAATTGAAATGGAAGAAAGTTCTATGGCATTCGTAAAAAAAGCATGACGATTCTCGTAAAGCTAGCACATGAATGATTAGGAATCGGAAACTGGTTAGAAAGAAGAGAAGGCACAACTGCCAAAAAAAAAAAAGCCACGAGAAAAATTGGCGAGGAGAATGGGAACAAACCCTGTAATCTGATAGACAATGTTGGCCGGAGGTGGTGAACCAAGACAGAATGCATTTCCGCGTGTAATGCTAGGGGAAGCAGGACTGAGACAATTGATTACAGTATTGACGTTGATTAGGATAAAAAAAGTCTCAAAAGCACAATCTGAATTGATGCAATTAGAATCGGAAGTAATCTGGTAGACGACGATGGCCAGAGGTGGTAAATCAAAACAGAATTCATTTTCATGAGTAGTGTTAGGACAAGCGAAACTGAAACAATTTAAATCAGTATTGGCTTTGATATGGATAAAAAAAAGTCTCAAAAGCACAATCTGAGTTGAGGAGTTTAGAATTGGAAGTAATCTGTTAGACGACGATTGCCGGAGGTGGTAAATTAGGACAGAATGCATTTTCATGAGTAATGCTGGACAAGCATTACTCATGATATCTCTCAAAGTTTGAGTATAGTCTCAAAAGCACAATCTGAGTTGAGGAGTTTAGAATTGGAAGTAATCTGGTAGACGACGATTGCCGGAGGTGGTAAAATAGGACAGAATGCATTTTCATGAGTAATGCTGGACAAGCGAAACTGAAACAATTTATAACAGTATTGGCTTTGATATGGATAAAAAAAAAGTCTCAAAAGCAGAATCTGAGTTGATGAGTCTAAAATTGGAAGTAATCTGGTAGACGACGATGGCCAGAGGTGGTAAATCAAAACAGAATGTATTTTCATGAGTAATGCTAGGACACGCGAAATTGAAACTATTTATCGCAGTATTGGCATTGATATGGATAAAAAGTCTCCAAAGTACAATCTGAGTTGATGAGTCTAGAATTGGAAGTAATCTGGTAGACGACGATGACCAGTCATCGACGATGGCCATGGAAAATCAAAACAGAATTCATTTTCATGAGTAATGCTAGGACAAGCGAACTTGAAACTATTTATAACTGTATTGGCATTGATGTGGATAAAAAAGAGTCAAAAGCACAATCCGAGTTGATGAGTCTAAAATTGAAAGTAATCTGGTAGACGACGATGGCCAGAGATGGTAAATCGAAACAGAATGCATTTTCATAAGTAATGCTAGGAAACGCGAAATTGAAACTATTTATAACAGTATTGGCATTGATGTGGATAAAAAAGTCTCAAAAGCAAAATCTGAGTTGAGGAGTCTGGAATTGGAGGTAATCTGGTAGACGACGATGGCCAGAGGTGGTAAATCAAGACAGAATGCCTTTTCAGAAGCAATGCTAGAGCAAACGGAACTGAGTCTCTTTTTTTGCAGTATTTCAATTATGTGATTGTAAAAAGTCTCAAAAGTACAATCTGAATTGATGTGTCTGTAAATAAAAGATTTTCGGTTTAATAAAATTAAATTTACGTCCAAAATTTCACTAGCATTAATTAATACCAAAATTAAGCGATCACCAACATTGATACCTGCATTAAACACTAATATTGATACCAGCATTGAACACCGACATCGAAGTTAGCACTAAAATTAAAACAACAGAGAAAACTTATGACTTTTAAGGAGGATTTTTTGTCTAGAGGTACAATTTAAGCCACATTTTAAACAATTTTCCAATGAAATGAAATGATAAATTATAAAACGATTTCTTTTCATCATCTTTCAGTTACATTCAAAAATTTTCAAATCAGAAATAACCATACATTGACATATAAAAATGATGGCGAAAATGTCGATTCTCGCCGGACACTGATAGATATCATTACTGTATAATCGAAAACAGGCGAGACTAAATATTAACGACTATGTATGAGTACAGCTGAGGTTAGAATGACAGAAAAGCTGAAATATGTCATTTTTTTTGCAAAATGGTGGAAATTAGGAAAAAAAAATAAAAAAATCCGATTTATTTCAGCATTTTAATGATGTTAAAAAATTCAAACATCGGAAAAGGTTCATTTCTTTCTTGGTTCCAAACATAGTCACATCAATTCTTTAGAAATCTCTAAAGCTCCATCAAAACCAATTGAGTAGGAGTTGCTTTTAAATCCAAATTTTCAACGAAATTTTTTTTAAAAATTTTTTAGTTTTCCTCTTCGGATTTTTGAGACTTACCATCAATCGTCGATGTCTGGATTACGCCTTCTTCGAACTGATTGGCGTGCACTGCTTCCTCCCTGGAGCATATCTAGCTTCTTGGATGGAGATAGTTGCTCTTTTTGCAAAATTCAAACATCGTGTTGACAATTCAAGTACCCATGCCATTCATC